CATCTTCATGGTCCTCTTCTTTACCCCTCATTTTGCTTGCTATTCGCTCCACTGCTAAGGAGGATCTTCACTGGTCCTCAGCCGAACTAGTATACGGTACAACTCTACGTCTACCCGGTGAACTAGTTTCCCCTTCTGTCGCACAGCCCGAATCACCCGTTACATTCGTCTCCCGTCTGAAACAACACATGTCCGAACTTCGTGCGACACCGACCAGACGATCAACGCGAACAGAACACATCTCAGCCGATCTCTCTTCTACATCTTTTGTGTTTGTCCGACATGACGCAACAAGAAAACCCCTCCAACCCTGTTATGATGGCCCTTTCAAGGTTATCGAACGTCACTCCAAGTACTTTGTTTTAGAGAAAAGCGGAAAGCATGATACCGTCTCCATTGATCGTCTGAAACCTGCCTACATCGAAGCAACCACAACCACATCCTGCAATCCCGCTACCCCAACAACACTCACACCTACCCAAGATATCCCTGCCTCCAACCTCACTCCTTCCACTAGTCGTTCCGGACGTCGCGTCCGTTTCCCTCAGCACTTAGCTGATTACGAAACTTGAAGTGAGCAAATTTGTGATTCGTTACTTTATTTATTCGAGCGTTTTCCATTCTCACGGTCAACGCTCTAGTGGGGGAGTAGTGTGGCGTTTTGTATCTTTATTTTACTTCCATTATAACACTACGTATTTCATCAATTGCATAATCGTTTTTTGTTTGAATACGAAAAACTACAAAAACGCGCACTCGTACAATTTCACGAAATACAGGCGTGGTCACGTGCTTCAACTCTCTCTTCTGATTTCGCTAGCGCTTGCAGCGTTCATTCGCGAGTCTCGTGTGCTAACTCTGTTATCAAAACATTTCAGACTTTCCTCGGAATCTGTTACATGTGGGGACTGTTCAGGAGAAGACCCCTGGACCACCAAAAGTGAATTATTGTTTATTCGCTGACCTGGGCCAACGACGAACTATTTTAAAGAGAACAATTGTTAATGAGTCTGTTCTCTCTGACCTCTTTGTTACTGTATACCCAACCTAGCGTTATTGTTTTTATTTCTTTGCCACACACCTGGTACACTAACTTATTGGGTAGCCAGACTACTACAATGTCGACGTCAAGGACGGACCAAGGTTTTGGCACTTGCTTACCAAGTTTTTCTCTGCTTACCTCTTTTCTTTTACTTAAGTTCATTCTCAGTCTGTTCCCAACTACCCACGGTGACTCAAATTCTTCCTTCACATCTTGAATATGACCGTGCCTGAAACCCTGACCACCGATTCACTACTGTGCCAGATATTTATGTCCTAAAAATATGACCAGCTGACACCCGACTAGCTTGCTTCTCGACGAACGGCTTCTAAACCAAATAGCCTTGTGACATGTTGAGCGGTCTTATTTCTAATGCACTGGCCAAACAGCCCAGTGTTCAGCTGCTGTCCAAAGGGTTACGGTTTCGAAATTCTCTGGTGACTTGGAGATTCGGAAAGCTGACGATCCCAAAGTTAGGACTACAGTGTGCCTTGTATAGACCTAATACGCTACTCTTAAGATTGCTGGTAGTTCTTTGGTGGCGCTTGTTTGGTTTCGACCCCGTTGGAGCCGGTAGAGTGGGCATAGTTCCTGAGTTTTTATCAATCTTAGTTTCTCCTTGAACCTAAACCGTACGAAATCCGGGATTACACCCACTTGTGCGTCAGTGTGATTTTACTGAGAGATCCGAATGAATCCCAGCTGAATCACCCGCTTACGATGTTTGTCTTCAGCTGACGTTACTTCACCAGGTCATCTCATGTTTCACTTGGTACAACACTCGATAAGTTGCAATGAATTATATATGTTGAAACACAAGTCTGCCTAACGTAGCAACTACAGTTGAAAACGTCCACCTTAAACAAAAGATTCAGTTGGATTTTGTTGAGTCTTTCATCAAAACCAAATTGGTGTGCATAGAAGCGCATTTTTTGAATACCATATACCTTATCTTTCCAAACAAAATTGCCGTCAAAACCTTTAAAATCACATCCCTGCCGGTGACGGTTTTGAGAAATATGATTTCATCCTTTATGTTAATCTTCCTTGATTGCACTTACATTTGGTGAGGTATCGAGTCACGAAGAACCAAACTAGTTTGTTAACATGAGCGCTAGTGCACAGACTGGTATTACACACAAACATCTATCCATCTGCAGGTGAGTGAGCATAGAAGTAAAATACAGGGTTGTTTCAAATTAAAAAAAAAACAAATGTATCGGGAACAAGATCACGAAACTCATTTGAGAAAGTGAGGAAAAATTCTTCTGTTATGGTGCATTAAACTACCGTATGACTGCAAATTACTGATAAGAAAACAGCAGTTGAACAATGAGCATCAGTCGTTGAAGAATCTATTTATCAATGCTGTGGACTTTTCTCATTTTATCTGACAGTGGCTGAATGGCCTTTATTTCACTACCGTCCACCACCAGTGTGCATCTATCCGGTCCGGCATTACCACGTGTGATGGTTAGTTGAGCTTTGTGATCGGCAAGAATAAAAGTGTGTTGAACGGTTTTATCGATCGTCCGCTCCTATGAAACCATAAAGAAGATAACGTATTATAAGTTTGGGCGTCCGATCGTCGAAAATGGTCATCATATCAACTTGCCTGACTGATATACAAATCACAAAATCTGCGGATCAAACAAGTAGAGTCTTTCAAAAGTAGCGTATTTTCATTTTATGACAACGAAATCTCATTTAGACTGGCGAGTGAATTTGTAGCAATATACTATTGTAAAAATCATTCAGCTGTAAACTCCTTTGGGCGCAGATTTGCCATGCACCCCTGAATGAAGCACAAGGACTGAAGTAGTGCCAAGTTGTCCAAAGCCAGACAGGAACAAATGAGATTATAAGGTTTGGTTCGAACCGTGAATATTCTGGTCAGTAAGTTCGAACCCTAACCACTGAGTCATTTTGGACTCCTTCACCATTTACAGGTCTCCGCACCCAGACACCCATTAATATTGAATTGAATGGTGTTCGTGCGGAACAAGACAGGGTATCGATGAAGATGTACATCGAAGAACAATGGGGAGTAGTATGGGCTACTATGTGACAACGAATAACCTCACATTACTGCAGAGAATGTCGTATGACACAAGATGATTGTTCGGAAGATAACCAGCAAGCTGAGTGAAGTTCAGCACAGAGAAGATTGTGGCCTGTGTCTGACTGATTGTTCGGTAATTCATTTGAGCATGCAAAAGAACTATGAGAACTGAAGAGTAAGTACACTGTTACTTCCCATGAAATTTTCATCTGAAAATAGCGCGTCTCCAACGACAACGTGAAGTCCATGTGCCCAAAGTCTACTTGAATCACTTGCCTTACAAGAAAGATGTGTCCAAAAAATGGTCCGTTCATTCAAAATGAAAATAATCTCTGTGTATATGCCTTCTTATGCTCAAAACTACGAATGTAGATTCTCATTTTGCCCGGCATTTCCAAGATATCTACGGGGAAACCGTTGATTTTAACGCAAATAGTGCGACAAATGCCCCGAAGTCAATACGAGTGGGGTTAGCGTGGTTCAGTTTTGTCAGCCCAGGTTGCTGGAAAGATAGGATGCTTTCTGTGCACAGAATTACATTGAAATGTATTCGGTTTGATTAAACGCCACACATTCTGCTCACCTCCTACTAAAGAATGCTGAAAGGAGCCACGTTACACGAGCCGTTTAGCTCAGGCCCATTCGATTCTTCATTCTAATCGACTCTAGTTGAATCTACTCTGAAAACTGTGGAAAGGGACATAGATAATTTTTTTGTTGGATTCCATTGACAGACATGTCGCAGTAAGTCTCATTTCTCACGAGTGTGCGGACCCAACGACGGGCTAAATTGCGTAAAAGTCAATGGGAAACCGCAGTGGAAGGCAGTCAACAGCATAAATCACGACCAACAGCACTAAGCTGTACTTTAAGGGTATTCTTTTGTCCCGTGAGTGTTGGTCTTACTTAACAAGTGTTAAATACAAATATTTTCAAATCCACTCAACACAGTGAGTGATGACAAAATTGTTTTTTTTTTTACTGTGTTACTTGTGCTAAGCAGTGACGATGTGCAGTTTTATTTCAGATGAATTACTGAAAATCCTCATTGTATTTTTTCCCATATCACCCGATATCTACTCCAGCTATGCAGAAGAACGCCACGTATGTCCGTCTCAAAGCTGTTATTTCTGTAAAAAGGGCGCTTTCGAAAACAGCTCAACTTTAGCGGTTCCTAAGAACACTCACTAAACAGCACATGAACCTTAGGCCTACAAAAATGGACTGCATGGGAATGAAAAATATCAATCAGGAGAAATCGGACAAAACCAAAACCAAACAGAGACATTAACTTTAATTAATGACCAAACAAGTTGTTTACGCGTGAATTCAGTGGGTAGTTGGAACTGTGAAACAAATGGCTTATTATCAATCAAGAAAACCGAGGTCCTTCAATATAGCTCACGTTGTTCTTCAAACTGTATGAAGTTCGTTCTTTCTCCTTATTTGTGGAAGCAGCCATTTACTTGCGACATCCATCATCCTCCAGGCATGTGCTTTTAGCAGATTATGACAAAAATGTATATGATCACAAAATCTTATCTACTATACCCTTCTTCATTCAGAAGCGTAATTTCATTTATTTCGGTAAGAATCCGATGAGGATCTCTCAACTAAATCAACCTGAATTGATATAAAGTCGTGTAAATCACTCTGCCTTTAGAGGGTGAATGCTGAGTTGTCATTTCAGATAAGATGAAGCTTCAAACTATCCTCTGTGAAACGTGCAAAAGCTGGACACACTAGCGGCGTAACAGATATTCTCTCGAGGCACCTAAATTAAAGATTTCTATTTGGGGCTATAATTAGGCGCAAAAGTTTTGCGGTGTAGATCCAAGTTCATTGTGGCAACTTCCCAATCTCTCCGCCCGTTAAGCAAAGGCCTCCACCACAGACGGAACAATTCGTCCCTGACTCACGAAAATTAACACCGGATTGGTAGGCAAAATGTCAGTGCCTTAAAAGGGACGCAGAATTCTGGAAACACCGATCCAACGTGGACAATTTTTTTCAGAGACGAGCAAAACTCCAACGTCTGTTAACTTGCTATTTGTTTTCCCTGTTAGTTGAAAGCTCGGTGTGCCTTGATAGATTTTATTAGGTAAGCATTTCTGGTAGTGGCTTATGAGCTTGCAAACAAAGCTGATCAATTACATGGATAGTTACATACAAAAATGTATGAGATGTACCGGTGAGCACGTGCTCAAGCGGCGGTTGAGCAGAACACCATAAAGGGTTCTGTGCTCCGATGAAGGATCACTTGTGTGGCTGATAATCTGGGTCAAGAGCCCATGTCAAAGCGAATGTCATCGATATATTGTGACTTTTCATGTTGGGATGTGAATAGATGACTAATTCAAATGAAGCGATCCATTTTAAACCATTCGATTCGACGTGGTAATACAAAGTTTGAACATTCTGGCAAGCAACTCCACGGGACATGTCGAATTCATCTCAAGTCCATGAAACCTAGTTGACTATGGTGGAGTCAACATTCTCAGGGCACCAAAAAAGCAATGGTAGCAATATGGTAGGGTTTCAGTGATAAATGTTCACTAAGCTTTCATAAAAACATAGTCATTCTATCTTAAAAAACTGCCAAAAACTAATGAGAGGGATCTCATGGCGTCTTGGTAATAATTAGGAAATGTAAAAGGGAATAGATGCATCCGCTAGCCTGGTTTTCTTGTCGTATACAGGAATAAGGCCCGTAGCCTGCGCATTAGACTCGCTCAGATAGTCATCCAGTAGACCTAGTATGCTGAAGGTGGTCAACAAGGAAGCACTGGCTTTGATTATTTGTTTTGAGAACTCACTAGAGGTGAGTACCTCCACAGAGTCACAGCCGTTACTCCATTAGATTACAGTTTGCCCCTGATATCACTCACTATTAGAGAATCCAGTGTTCTTTTATCTATAAAAAAGCTTACTTCGGTCGGAATCTGCGCGTCGTTCATCCACAACGTTCCGCTATCCTTGCCTGTTTGGATGTGGAAATAAAGTCAAATGTATTCGTTATATAGTTGAGAGTACGTGTCTTAACATGATAAAACTAACTGAACAAGTACAAAGTCGGAACGCAGTGACGTACAAGTGCCAAATTCAATGTCGGTATCGCGGACATAACTTTCCTGCGAGGAGGAAGAGGCCAGGTAATTACTAAACGTCTTGATGGTGATCACACTTTGGCCAACCAAACGCTAAACCTCAACCCCGTCAACATGGCCACAGTAGCGGATTTCAGAGGATACAACAGAACTTGGTGTTTCTTTAGAACAAATAAGCTACACTCAAAACTCTTCGAAAGCCCCTGGTCGGTTCCGCTTTTCTCGGGTCTCATCAGTTAGGTGCCTTTCCCGAGTTTTTCTCATCCCTTTGTTCTACTTGAAGTCAGATAAGACTGAATCTGTCAACTAATCTTGTTTGTATTCGAATTTGGTTCTGATGGGAGACGCAAAAGAATCCAGTTAGATCTCTCCTTTAGGAAGGTCCCCTGAAGGTGAATGTGCTGCACAAGGCAGCCTCATTTTTCAGTTTATACAGTGTATTGCAAAACATGAGGTGACCTGGCGCAATACCTTTAGTTGAAGACAGCCACCATAAACAAGGGATTCATCTGGATTCACCTAAGTCTGCTAAAAACAAACCAAATGCGTATGTAATTAACCGTACTTGGCTCTCAGTTCTTCACGAACCCTGACTACACCTGTGGTCAGAACATGCTGAATAACCACATATTCGCATAGAGGAACTTGTGGTTTCCATGGTCTTGAAGGCTTGTCGGGTGTTAAGAGTAATTGTGATCAATTATGGCTATATGAAATGATAAGAAACAGACTTAGTAATGTCATTCATCCTGTAGCCCAAGGCCTGACATTCTCCTTCCTGCTTCGCCACCACTAAACTGCGCACTGATGTAGTCTCCTCTTACAGGTTCGCAAGTCGACTGTGAAACGTGGAGATGGGATTGGTTATCACCTGTTCGACAGCCGAAGAGTAAGTACACTAACCAATAGATGATTTCTAGTCTAGAATTAAGCTTCACAGCCATAGGAATGTGGCGATCGATAGGTTTCGTCATTATCTGATTATGTAGCTCTTAAATACAATCGAAAAATCCATCAGCGGAACTGGAAGAAAAAAAGATTCCGTCGTACTAGATTCCACTTTCAAGATGAATCCATTACTCTTGTCTAGTTTGATTACTTTCCGACTGACAACGGAATTGTCTGTATACTCCAAAAGTTAGTATTTTCAAAGCAGCAAGATCAAGGAGCTGGCGAAACTATTTTAACAATTAAGGAAGTAATGGCTTGCTCGCAGATTGTGGGCCTTTGTCCTGTAGTTTCCGGCCCATTTCTTCTGATTTTCAGGAACAAACTGGGACCTACTTTCCTCTAAAAGAACTCTGGGACTTTTAAAAAGTGGGTGAAAAAGTCGCCATTAGAAATTGTGGTGCCACCGAGTAATCGAGCTAAAATGAGTAGACTAGTGATTTCTCAACCAATGATAAGAATGGAGCCCGATTATATATATGTATAGATATATGTTATATATATGGTTGTGTGAGATTTTGGAATTCTCAATAGAGATGACGTCCTGGAACTGACACTAATCTAGGCTGTAAAGCAAAGGACACCATACATTGTTTCATCCTTTTTGGGAATCAGCAACAGTGTTTATCATAGAATTCCAGGGAGTCTCGAACCCTCGACCTCCGGGCTAGTAGTTTGAACAATTAACCATTCGGCCAAGAGTGGCTGGTCAGCAGTGCGCTTGGCTCACACTCAAACAGGATATAAAGCCACTCAACCTGCAGTCACGTGATCAAAATAACTTAGCCTCACGTGAGGACTGGCTCCTCGAGTGACGACCTCCCAAGTTTTCATTCGCCTTGTGAGATTGTCTTTTCCTCTTAACTACTTATAGTTTGATTATCATGCGAAGAGATATAGTAATTTCCAGTGGAGATTTCGGGGATCAGGTCAATGCTTGACCACGTGACGTGGTTTTCGTGACAGCCGTGCAGATTGGCTTCACTTATATGACTTTTGGCAATAACATTTTATTTGTTTCTTCTTGTCATCAACACGACGCCGTAATTCATGAAGATCTTAATCAGGTGCACTGCTGCGCGTCAGCTACATGGATAAAGCCCGAAAAATGAACCATGGCTTATCCGCTCGGTTCGTACACCTTACAAAAGCTTTTGACTTAGAGGGGCTCTCTGGAGTGCGCCTCAATAACGCATATGTCTCGCAAAAACTGCTGCATTTGTCAAATCCTTCACTCTGGTATGAGTATCTACCGGGTACCTATCCTTGAACCTATTGTTGCTGAGTTCGAAATTTACGCGGGGGTGAAGAGAGTTTGTAGTTTGCGATTTACATAGAATCGTTTCTGGATTCTGAAGATGGAGTAATGATCCAGCACTGCGTACGAAACTGCATCCAAATTGAAAATTGCTGCTTTTAGTAACTGACTTTCACATCTCGAACTGTAATTGCAACGAATAAGCCCACTTTCTGCCTCGACCGCCTCTAGATTTGGCCTAAATGTGAATGCTCTAAAAAAAATCGTTTTGGTCAATCTGCAGTGCATTCAAACTAATGGCTGCCGTGAAAATTTACGCTACGTAGATAATACCCTGATCATCGATACTGAACAATATCCTAGGATTTCTCAGACATGTGTTACGTTCGTTCGCCTATCTAAAAAGGCGTTCGGAGGAGGCACGCTGATGCAAAGTCAACACAGTGTACTCAGTTGTTTGCCCTTCTTTTCTGTTGCACGACAGCAAATTATGGACAGTATACTGACGATAAAGTAGAGTGCATTTACCTTGCTCAAGCTACTTTGAATAAGTGCCCATCCGGAACTTCAACACTAAAGTCCTCAAAGGAGTCATGAATAACGGAACTGAATATGCCTTGATGCACACATTCCCCGAAACGAATTATTTACGGTCGAACGGTTGAATAACGAAATCCAAACAGCTGCTGTGACAGAGTTCGGGTAAGCCTGAACAGATGTCATATGGGTTTAAAATCTTCAGAAAATCTGGTATTCTGCAAAATGGCCTGGCTTACTATTGTCTGCACAGGCTTCAACAGCGCCGGAGCTCAATACACCTCCATGCCCGGACACAACTCCATCATTCGTAAGACTCGTATAACGTGGATTGCAATCACACCCTCCCGTGGATCTGTGCAATTGGTGGCACACATACTCGAGTACAAACGGTCACCAGCCTATTCACTGCGATCCACCACGGATTTACCAGTGAACGTCCGAGATAAACTCCCACATTTCTAGTGAACGTCTGCCCAAGTTGAGTCCGCTCTTATTTTCAATCAACGGAATCTGCCAAACGCTAGTTACATTGGATATCTGAATGCCGGTTCACCGTCTGGCTGTTCATTCCCAACTAGCGATAATATAAATCTCCCAGAGAGCGCTGCTATGACATTGTAGGAAATACAGTAGCCTACTGAAAATTGAAGTACCTAGCGAGTCAGGCTAGCGCAGTGGCTTTGTTGTACCACCACCAAGGCTACGGAATGCAGTCATGCGTCTCTTTCTGATGGATACACTTTGGAATGTTTGTCCGAAATCCGGTTTACGTGGTCAAGTAACTGGAAAACTTCGCCATCATCAAACCAAATAGATGGTTTAGAAGGCAATATCATTCAATAGTTCTTTTGTACCTCGTGGATCCATGGTCTACCGCTTCCTCAGTCTTTCCTCCGGGTTAAGTATAACGATGTAATTGTGGTTTTTAAGATGCCCACATGATATTGCACCGTGGTCGAAATCACGTTTGCAGCATGCAGTCGTTTACGCTAGATAAGATTTATCGTCAAAGACTTGTGGTTACCACAGCCGGCTCAAACCATTTCATTCGTTCGAATCTTGTTGAAAAATATGTTACTTAAAGTATTATTTCCTGTACACCTACTCCCTGGTTTTCCGGAGGCTGATCAATCTGCTGTTAGTAGGCCACTGAGACACGCCCCTAATTACAGCGAGATTTCCAGAGGTGTTGTCCTGGGCTTGATGGTGAGGAGGCGCCTTGGGTTCTGTACTAGGTTGACGGACGGCAAAACCCTGTTTAGCCAACTTTCTCGGATTTTAAGACTTTCTGAACATGTAAAAGGATACTAAAGTTGGTGCAAATGCATCCCACAGTAAATAAATTAAACAAGATTGTTTGAAGATATCGCACAGCGATGCCTCTGGGTTAACAAGAGATCATAGATTCACCGTTAGTGGCAGTTCTCCTGAGTAGAGGCTTTTTCGAAGTGAAATAGTCATGCACAAGCTTAATCAAACTGTCCTCGTTGCGCTCATCGGCATTACTCTCAACCCATCTATTTCCTCGTCCTCGGTGGGCGAGAGTGTAGCATCGGGAACCGCTTTACCGAGACGCACGTTTCATGACTGAACAACCAACTGACTGATGGAGAGAAGCCTATCAGTCTGTAACGTTGAGAATTCAAGTTCCAGGTCACCACTCTCTCATTAATTCATCCTTGTAACCCCAATCGGGAAGGTTTGATTCTTGCTGATTGTAGACATTTGCAGCTTCAAATGAAACTTTCCTTACCGCCGGTGTCCTGGGAAAAGCTTTCATTCCGATGTCGCCCCCTGGCTGCTCATAAAGAGTACCGGTAATCGTTGGCCGTTCGGTTGACAAATTTCCATCGGTTTCGTTAACCAAGCTGGTCTGTTCGCCCACACCGCTAAATCAATTTTATCGTTTTGCTGTATCGTGGGTGGCCGCCTGAACTGGTCCTGCCAGACTACGTGAACAGAACCAGGCGGGAAAACCCGGGAAACGGCTGCATTGTCAGGACATGTCAAAATATGCAGAGCTAGTGCGTAAATACATTGGATGGGTGAACGGCCAAATATGGGTCATTTACTTTGTTCTTTCTGTCCAGGTAGTTGAAATGTTCCTGCGTGAACAATTCACATCTACATCGCTGGTCGCATATTGCTAAGGCGTATTTGGTAAGCACACGCATTTGCTACCCGGAATGTGTGGAAACGATGGCGACCTTAGGGACGCGTCGTCATCTGCACACGTTCTTTTCGTGTCTGGACGCATCCTCACACACTTATACCAGCTCAAAACAACATTCCCTAGACGACTCAACACGCTGTTACGCCTGTTCGTCTGAAAATTTCACTTGCGTATTGTCGTGTCTGAGAGATCGAGCTGGGGATTAGCTCAGCTCGGTCACAAAACCAGTGATACGTGCATCAAAAACAAGATGTGAGCGTGCGTAGTTGGAGTGTGGCGTGCGCTGCATGATCGGAAAACAGCGGAATAATCGGGCTTTGAGAATGCGGCAGGGTCACAACGCGCAGAACCCTGAATAGCCATGTGTTATGGCTTCATGGTGGTTGGTTCTGCATGGCAATACCCAGCTGAATGCTCGAGCAAAATTACGTACGCAAAATTACGAAATATGACGAAACCGCAACAGGCCTCAGTCAAACCATCCAGACACGATATTGTTTTAAAAATCAATCGTCTCAGGTACCAAAATGAACAGTATCACATGTGGCCTGGATAAATTGAATGTTGGCAATTCCAAAACACTGCAACAGACTATCCGCTTATCCCTACTCATGGCCCCACCATCTGACAAGCGAATGAATCCAGCTCAAATTCATGCAGATTTCCTTACTTTAAAGCATCAAGAATACAACTTAAGACCGGCTACGTGACTTACAAAATGCCATACTGGTTGCCACTCCGTCCAGGTTGATGTTCCAGACGGTGGTATTTGCCGACGGTATATAGCTATGAGCAGGCAAACTGCCTTCAGAGCTAAAACGAAAAGCAGAAATATTAAATGCGATCTGCTTTTGTAGGCATTGACGTTATAACACTTATGGCCCACAATAGAGTAGAATGTACCTCTACCAGGAAAGTTTGTCGTACTGTGTCAGCTAATAGCCGATTTGAAACTGAAGGGCTTCTTTTAGCGGCGAATGTTGCGGGTCAGTTTATCACAGATTACTGGTGAAGCTAAGTCAACATCAAATGAGTAAACAGAAGCATATTAGCAAAACAGTCACGTGACACCACTTGTTAGCTAAACCTGCAAGGGTTATGTTTTGAGGCTTGACCAGATGAGTACACTTAGGCGATCATACGTAAAAAATGGAGTAGCATAGTCCGGCTACCATAGACTTTGGTCCTTTCGTTCGTTCATATGCAACACTCCTTCTGTACTTGGTTGTGAAGCTACCTGAAAGAAGCACGAGGGTTGTGATGCTGCCAGGTTGCTCAAGCCAGAGGATGGGTTCGAACCACGTTTCTTCCGGCCAATAAGTTCGCGCCGAAACGGCAAGCACGAGGTTGTGATGCTGCCAGGTTGCTCAAGCCAGAGGATGGGTTCGAACCACGTTTCTTCCGGCCAATAAGTTCGCGCCGAAACGGCTGAGACATCTGGAGTTCATATCTACATCCATGGCACTTGGTTCGGAAAGTCATCCTGAACGGCAACTCTAGATAATTCAACACACTGGATAGCTTTGTACTGATTTTGATTATTTGACTATTATTACTGATTATTATTACTGATAGGACAAGCACAACTCTGTATCAAACTGCCAAAAATAGAGGAAGTGGAAGACTTTGGTGCCCGACAGTGAAGTGCCCATAACACATGACTTCATCCATAGATCGCGCTAAAGTTGTAAGCACATTAAAGTCGTCAGTTAATAGATGTCATCAAACCCACTTGATTCCCTTACGGTTTCGCCGAACCGCCTATAGACTCAAAAGATAAAAGAATGTGAGTTTTATCTATTGAGAATAGAAATTAAACAGAGTTGTATTCACAATTTGACTATGAATATGAGTATACGCGCTGCAGTAGGTTGGGACCAACCCAGCGAGAACAATCCTTTTGCATAGTGTTGTATGTTGTCGGGTAACTTTTTCCGTTAGATGATGAATCCACTAAAGTTTCACTAAACAAACACATTTTGAACGAGTTGTGTCAAGAAACCATGCTCATACCAACTGGTCCTACTGTAGAAACTCGTCCCACTTTTACGCTTTTAGAGGCGTATTAGTCCAGATAAGAACACGAAAAAAGATAGTTGGCAGTTTCTTACTAAAAGTCTATTAGCTTGTTTGTATCTGTTTGATTGATTATGTTTCATTGTTCATCCATACTTCATATTCATTTAAGAATACAACGTGACCGGATCAGCTACAAATGATGAAACTTTTTCCGCATGTCACCGACAGCATTTTTCAGTAAACCGATATCCTCGGGAAAACGTCTTTAAGAACACATGCAGAAACACAAACGATTTACGGTTTACACTCTGCTGCACCTTAGAAAAACGAAAAAATCATCAGGATGAATTGCAGATAAACTAACAACGATTTACCTCAGAAACAAATTGACCGTTTCACGTTACATGAATGAAACATTGCACAGAATTCGACAACTGTTACTATAATTTAACAAAAAATAAAAAAGCTATCTTCTTGGAGCAGCCGGAAGAATTTAGAACTACCTAATTAACAGTGGATACTACTGATGGGGAAAGCGAGCAGTATGTTTACTCGGAAATCAGCTCCGCGTCTCTTGAAAAGTGAGATCTATTACAGAATTTGTGGAGTCACATTTGTTTGCATTTGAGCAACAGTCAATGAATATCCAGGAAAGTTCAGGAAGACGCGTTCAAGAAGAAGATGGATATTCAGTTTCTGTAAAAAAGATGTATATGGGAGTTTCGCTTCCTTGTCCAATGGTCTGTAACTGTTCACTTGGCGATTTCTAATAAATAATTCCGTAGCGAAGGGTTTCTTCCATTCACGTGTACTTCATGGGTGGAAATTATTGGGGTACCCAACCACCTGCAGACTTGTGATGGCAAAACTGTGTTGGGTTCTTAGTAAATATGAGAACGGAAAAAATACGGGTTACATAACACTGTAAGACCGCAAATCACACCAGCGAGGAGTTGTGTAACGTTCATTCAACAAAAATTACAGATTAAAAGGTCACTCTCAGGCGAATACTCTGACACAATTATAAGGTTGTGTGAGGGCCTTTAATGCGCTAAACCTGGCCCCATTTCGGGGAACAGCTGATGCGTTGGCAAGTGAACCAGCATTGTAGTCAAACTCAGACCCTTGGATTGGTGATCAGCTCGGCCTCGAAAACCGATAGTTGTGCACCTAATTACTCATGAGTAGCCAAATGTTTTCTGAAATAATCAATGTTCTCAGTCGAATTCTGTTTGTGAGCTCATAGTGCGGTAAGTTCACACATCGTTGGATAAAAACTTTTACAGGTGTTCATAGGACTCTCTCCTTAACAAACCGGGTTATTTATGTCCTTGCCAATTCTGCTGTAGGCGTTGGATGAATTGTAGAACGGTAAATAGTTCACTTGGGCAGATTGCTTAATCGCTCCAGACACCTATTCGACCCACTTTCAACGTTTCATACTCAACAAATGGTAAATGCCTTCACACTGGTCAGGTGTTGCCTCAATTACTTTTAAAAACTCTGAGGTTTGCGTAAACGGGCTCACCAGGAACTGAGTGCCTCTAACATACCTCAGATGTGTGACATGTGTGTGACCGAACCACAACAGTTCTGTATAACTGTGACTAAAAAACTAGTGATGTCTTCGCATTGATTCAACCTTTACCTCTATTCTAGAGCACCACTGGTCATTTCGGTATGGAAAAGCATCAACGTATTATTGTGTGGATGCCTAGTGGTTAGTCGAACTGGGATTTGAAAGGGACACAGAAGACAATCACCCAGGAAAGTTAATGACCCTACAAGCGGACATCAGGACCTGAAAATAAAACCTCCAGTTTCAGACAAGGCTCAAGAAACTATGGGACTATGGACCCACCAGCCTATTTGAGCTGTGACATCCTCGCGCTGACTTAGCACAATATTTCACTCTGAAACTACCCACTGACGCATCTGCGTGCTGCTCGATGGTTAGTGGCCTCAGGTAATTCCCACGTATTGCAACATTAAGGCAGACATGTCTGCTCTCCAGTGGGAGCCCATTCCGTTAAGCCTCAATGCACACATCGCCTCACCGAACAGAACAGACCAGTTGAGTGTTTGTGTAATTGTGTAGGTATCAGCACCACGCCTCGAAAAAATTCCAATAGGAGTATTGCTACCTTTCAGAAGGAACAACAACAGAAAACGTCTTCTTGCGCGATCACCTCTGCTCAAAATGGATAGAACCTTTTTGCTCATAAATAGATTCCGGGGGCCATAAAACTTCCCAGGTATAGTTTGTATCGTTATTCCATCACTTTGATGTAAAGGCCAGACAACCTTTGTCAAAATGAATTTAGTAGGAACGTCGTATATATCGATCTCTGCCGCACAGTTGAAGTCCAAATCAGGTAGTTACGCTTACTGTGAAGTTCTCAACATAAATCGGAATCCCGTGAGCAAAACGTTTCAAACATTTCTTTGCTGCTTTTATCACCAATGGTTGAAACAAAAATATCAAGTTAGGTCTATCTTGTAGTTAATCTAGTTCGACCTTGATTGTTGTGAAAAACTTGAGAGACAAAGGTTACTAAGCAGCAAACGGCAAGTTTTCCTGCACCGGCAAAATAGAATGTCCCACAAAAACCACTGAAACGATAGTTTAGGTGATTGATTAGCTATGAATACCAATCAGTCAAGGAACCAACGTGTAGTTGTCCGTTTGTTTTATCTACAGCTGATGTAAATCGTTTGCTCAATCCACAGTGTTTTCCGCATTAGTATGCACAATGCCAATTGGCAGACTTCAAAACGGAACCTCAATAAAAAAATTAAAATTTGTCAAGTGGTTGCGTTCATTTGTACTAGACGCATAGAGACCAAACAGTATGTATACCGTAGGTGCTTGTACTACGGTACGTATGGGAAGCTCAACGAGGTAAAGAATCTAAAGCCGGTGTTATCGATGCTGGGGCTTGTCAGAAAGGCCCACTTTCCGCATTCGTCACGAAGAGATTGTACCCGGATGCGACCAACTCCCTCCGTGCCACATAGAGTCATACCGGGGAGAGAATATGAGGTAAACCTAGAGTCTCTCATACCAGACTGATCAATGGTTAGAGGTCTGAAACCTAGCTTCCCGGTCCTCAAGGTTGCGGTTGGTACACATGTGAAGGCTCGCTCTATAGGTATCATAATGCGCCCGCATTATCTGCCACAGATCGCTGCCTTGTGACAAAACTTTCGAGACAAAGGCTTTGGTCGGAGACATTAATGGGATTCCTGCCTAGGTCTTTGCGTTCTAGCACCATTCCACCATGCATGCACACACGATTCCTACACTTATACATACCATATAAAACGGAAAGCAAAGATGTCCAAAATAAAGGAAAAGTTTTATCAGGCTGGAGAACATTTTACCCCACGTCCCAGCCACTGTGGCTTGTTTACTCGCACCATTGAATCAATTAGCAAAATAGGCTAACCAATTCAGCATCTCAGGGTTCTTATGTAGCTTGAGTTTCAAAAGCCAGACAGGAATGATACAAATTGCGGGGAAATTTCGTTTTCGTTCTTATGTAGGGTGTTCTTAAGTCTGCAAATATTCAAGTGCTCAATATAATTTCTTCCTAATGGAAACCCTCGCAATTGTCCAAGCATGTGAATGATTCCTTTGGAGAGGAGTGGATTTCCTAACGAATGGCGAACGTCCAATCTGTCTGATTATGTTTAACTCTCCAAATGTTCACAGAAAGTGATGACAAACGACTAGTATGTATTTTTACTTATTTATTAACTGCTTCTATAACCCTCGGTTTCACCCACCACTA